GACAGCATGGGATTGCATCATGCTGGCCTAAACGGTGCAGCTTGGAACTTAGGAATTGTTTACTTCAGGAATTTTCCATTTAATATTTCTGACTGCAGTTGACAAGAGTAACTAAAAGTATGGAAATCGAAGCCGTGGATAAGGGGGAAACTGTACACCCCATCCCCACAGAGAGGACTGGCCAAGGGACTGGATTCATGGAAGACAGAAGAGCATCCACACCAGGGGCCTCGTAACAAATTTAAATACAATGGGGGGATCATCAAGGCTGATACAAGCAGGGTACCTACCTGTACCCAGGTTGTTAAAATATTGATATACTTCCCTAAACTCTGAACATTCTAAGTACCTCCCACCACTCTGGCCCCGCTTCTAGGATAAGCCACCCCTGATCCAGAAAGCAAACGAAAGACAAATGCCTGGCTGGCCATGTCCCTTCTTTTTCTTTATTTTCTTTTTCATTATTGATGAGAAAGAGAGGGGTCAATTTTATTGTTCCAACCATTCATTGGTTGATTCTTGTGTGTGTCCTGACCTCGGATCAAACCTACTACTTTGGCATACCCAGATGATACTCTAACCAACTGAGTCCCCGGCCAGGGCCCCATGTCCCTTCTGGCAGATGCTTGTGTTGTGTTTGCCATTAAATATTTAGAGTCTCCCCAAGGCTATTACTAACCCTATTTTACCATGAGGAAATTAAGGCTTAGGCAGGGTAAGTAACTTGCCCCAGATCATAGAGCTAGTGAAATTGAAACTAGAATTCAAAACTGGCATGCGTGACCACGATACTTCTGGTGTGTTTAGGGCAGCCTTGTACTGTATCATCCAAACTGAAACACTTCGGAGAGCAAACAGTGAAGCCCCAAAACAGATGCCAGGATAACGAACATAAACAGGACTCAGCTGGACCAGCTCGGGGAGGGTGGGGATGGTTACTGTCACATTCCCTCTGGGCTTCGCACGGCAAGATGGGCGAGGAGAAGGCTCAGTCCAGCCCAGGTGCAGGTTAACGAGGACCGCGGCGAGCCCTGTCAGGACTTCCTGAAACTCCTTAAGACTGCTGCTTTCCCCACTGTTTGCCAGATTTGTTATCGTGGGTAGTAACCCTCTAGTGACTAACACTAAAGTCCATCTTTTAAAACTTTAATAATTTTTTATGCTTATTTTAGAGAGAAAAAGACAGTGGGAAGCTGGGGAACCTGCACAGTGCGGCAGCCAGGGAAGCAGGTGGGGTGAGGTGAGAACTTCCATCAGAGGAGGAGACCAGCAGCATCCACGAGCTCGGGAGGTGAGAAGGAAGAGGAGCTGCTATCACCTACACATGGATGCTCACCACGTAAGAAGCCAAGCTCAGTTGTGCTATCAAGGTCAGAGTTAGGGGAATAGACTAAGGCAGGAGACAGGGCCAGAACCAGCGCTTCAGACTTCGAGTGAGGTACCCCCTGGGAGCACAGATACTCAGGGGTCAGGCAGAGACGGAAAAGAAACGGTCCTGGAGGTGGCAGGAGACCCATACGTCAGGAGAGAGAGAGACTCAGCAGCAGCTCAGACGCAGCTGGAGCATCAGCTGAGGTAAGAACTAAATCCGGTGGTGGAGGACACCACACTGGGGTTGAGAGTGAAGGGAGAGAAGGAACTGGACTTTGCAGGTGGCAGAAGCCAAGGGCTAGATCATTGTTTCCTGAACAACAGAAGGCTTTGCATAAAGAACTTGCCCATTTGGTAACGATGAGAATCCAGCAAATGAAGTTCCAGGACCCCAAGTCCCTTTCAAGGGCACACACACAGTGACCAGGTCCCAGCCTAAGGTTTCTGTCGACTTCAGAGAGACCCAGTGAACCAGTGCTGGGCAGCCCTCTGCTAAGCAAAGGCCTCCTCTGGAAAAAACCATGCAGAATGAAGGCTCCAGGGCAGGCCCCGATGCCAGCACACGTTATCAAGCTCCAGGTAAGCTCCATATGCAGCATATTTGTTCATAGGACCAGCGTTGGGAGAGACTCAAGGTCCATTTCGCCCCTCAGCCTCAAAAGTGTGAACATGAATTGAGCCTCAGGTTTGGCTGTGAGTATTCATGTGATAATGTATTTCCTCACTGAGTTCAGGGACCAGTACACTGTCAGCGCACGAAACACCGGCCGGTGCTACTTTTATAGACTGGAGCAGCGCTGTCCACATGTGAGCCACCTCCGTACTCACACCTTCGGAGTAGCTCCATTGCAAAATACAAACAACAGGTGAGTCCATGTTAATATGTTTTACTTTGCTCAAGATATCCAAAATACTGTGTCAATATGGAATGAATATAAAATTATTAATGTGGTATTTTACATTATCTCCTTCCTACCACATCTTTGAAATCGGTCCTTTGCACTGCAAGCGAGCCTCAGTGCGAGCAGCTTCATTCTAGAGCTCCATAACCATGCGCGCCTCGCGGCCACCCCCGGACAGCGGTGCTCGCAACCCCCGCAGGCAGAGGAGGTCCGTACGACCCCCTCTCTAGGAATCACATTTTCCCACCACATTTTGAAATGGTTTTCTGATCTATTACTGAATTATGTCCTTACTTCCGGTTGTTTTACTTACTTTAGCCCCTCCTACTTTAGACTTTCGAGGACTAAAAGGTGAGCAGGCGCCCAGGATGCGCTTCGTCTCACAGTTCAGGGACACTCCCTGAAACCTCACCAGGGCCGGCCATGCAGACAGAACAACGCCCGGACCACAGTGAAAGCAGGGCCACGTGATGGGCTGGACTGGGGTCAAGCAGTGGGGGGTGGGCCTAAGATATATTTATTTACATTTTTAAAATTAAATGTACTGGGGTAACAAACTCACAAAACAAACCAAACTCAATGATGCATATAAAGAGCCAGGAACATCTCCAAAGCCGCAGCCTGGCTAAGAACCGCAGAGAAAAAAACAGAACTCAAATCAGCCGGTACAAGCTGGCTGGGTGGGGAGGGGGAGGGGGAGGGGGAGGGGGAGGGGGAGGGGTGGGGGTGGAGGTGGGGGTGGGGAGGCCGGGGAGGCGGGGAAGGCAGGGAGCTTAGGCCTGGAAGGAGCAGAGCCCAGGGTGAGGCCTCTCAACAAACACTGGCCAGGGGCTAGAAGGCCTGCAGCAGAACAAACCTCTGGAAATCACCTGCTGTGACAACACTGCCTTTATCTGTGACCTCAGCTCCAGAGGCAGAACAATATGACAGACAGAGAGCTACTGTCTTTTTAGTGGGAAGTGGGAAAAGAATCTCAAAAACTTGCCTTTTCTGTGGTCAGAAGAGGAACTAGCTTAATGCAAAATATATTTTTCCAAGTGTCAAACTTAAGGGAATAATAAACTCCTCACATGAAATACCGACAAAACGTTCACTGTGTATAGTAATATATTTTTTCATGATCACTTAACTCATACAGTCATACAGGTTTTCTGAGAGGTAGAATCAAAACTCTGCAAAGGAAGAATTTAAGCAAAGAAACTGCAACTGTTTCTTAAGTCACCACAGGGAGATCGATTCAGCAAACGTAAGAAGCCCCGAGTCTAACAAGCAGCCTGGGCCGCTGACTCCAAGGGACAGAAGCTTTCAGCTCTTACTAGTCCCCAAAGTCACCCACCACATCAGTGTGTTATGTCCACAGTGAACTTGGCACCCAGAGAGGCCCAGTTGTACCTGGTCCACTCTGATAAAGAACTCGAGGAGAGGCATAAACCAGTTCAGAAAGGTGAGAGGGTGATGCTTCAGTTTGGGCGTGTTCCTTGTGGAAGGAAAAATTCTGTTTTGGATGGTGGAGAGCACTGTGATAGCCAACAGAACTGGGCACCTACCTACCCGAGGTGTGACCTTGCATATATTACCACTCTGATCCTGTTTTCTTCATTTGTAAAATGGGAAAATTAATACTGAGTTTGCAGAAGTTTTGTGAAGGTGAGATACCACGTAGGTAAATGTGCTTTGCATAGTGCCTGACAAATTTAACAAATACCTGCCACTGATAATAACAGTAATACTAATGAATGAGATATTCATTTATTTTTATATCATTATGAAGGCTTAATTGGAAAAAGGTTTTAATAAAAAGTAGTATAAGGCAAAGGTCACTAAACTGACTTCCTTTTTAAGTCTGCTCATATCAGTGTTCAAGTAAGATTCATTTTTTCAATCTTTGAAGCCCTGAATGGCTTTATCAAATTTTGTTTTCCCTAGCTTAACAAAAAATGAGGAAAAATTGGTCTTGAATGCCTGTGTAAGTGACCTTGAAAGCTGTGTGTTTTTTAAAAACAACTTAGTTATTCATCCATAATAAAATCTGAGAGGGCGGGGGCGGGTAAGGGCGCTGGCTGGGAAGGGAGGTTACTGTGTGCTTTTCTATGACTGTGTATACATACTCTAAGTCTCGATGCTCAGAGAATTCCTCCCCCACGGTTTCAAAAGGCCTCACAAGCTACCAAGGAATCCCTTGGCTCAGGAAGAAATAGATCTGAAAAGTTAACTCACACTAAAAGAAATTATAATACTAAAAAATATTATTACCTTTTTCCTTGTAGCAGTATTTGTATTTTAAGGGGTGGTTCTCTTAAAATGATAACTCAAAGAAAAATCTCTTCAAATCTGAAAGATGCAAACACAATTGCTATAAAGATGCTGATACAAGGACTTTGTATGCTGGTAAGTAGATCACTAGGCATCTGTGACAATAGTGGGGATAGAAACCTTCCTTAATGCCCCTCACATCAAACTCACAGGTGACTTTTTACTTCAGCCCAAGGTCAGTCTGGTTTCAAGCAATCTGCTTACACAACTCCAGGGTAATTGCTGTGTGTGTGTATGTGCTCCTGAGTGTAGACTTCAAGTTGATAAATTGCCCTATTAGAATCTCAATAACACTTAGGGTCCATCCACTAAACTGCAACTCGACGGGGCTTACTTCTGACTAGCGTGAAATGTTCACACGAGCCAGGAGCCGTCCTCCTAGCGCATTCACAGGAGAAATGTGGCTAAGTTTACCTTTCTTTGGTCTGGATTTCACTGGCAAGGACTCCTTTTTTTCCATTGCTGCTTCTCTTTCTTTCCATCGGCGGATCTGTTCCTCCCTCATCTTGAAGAACAGGATCTGTTTCTGCTCTTCGCTGAGCTCTGCCAGCAGATCAGGATCTATGTACATCTCCGACAGTATCTGTTTCAGCATCTTCGCAGCTCTGGAGTCTTTTACACCTGTGGCAGAAGTTCTTGAAAATGGCTTCCTGGTGTGCCCTCCACCTGGGCTGGCACTTGGAAGGACCTTCCTTCCCAGAGACTCACAGCAGCCCCGAGTGACGGGGATAATAACTCAGCAAACGGGCTCTTGGTTCCTGGCACCGAACATCCTGCCCGAAACGCCGTTCGTGAACCTGCCAGGAGCAACAGCCAAAAAGCAGGCACTATTAAAATGTGTAGATGCCAGGCAAGGACAGGCTTACGAATAAAGCTGGGCGGGAATGCAGTATTGCTTTTCATTTATGAGGAAAAGAAAAGAAAAGCCGAGGCACGCTTTGTTGAGTTTGTGTAACCTCTACCCGTAATTTCCAAAGATACTTTATCAAAACAAAAGAAAGCAAACCCTAACTTTTTTACAGGTCAGCCTCAGGGAAACAGAAAATTTAACAGAGGTTTGGCCTCGTTCCAGCCAAGCAAACACATTACTACCTCAGAGCCTAACAAACCAACTGTGTGGCTCAGAAAAGAATTAAAGAAAAAAAAAAGAGAGGAGGAAATTAAAGGTTCTTTCCAAACAACTGATTTTAAAAAAATACTGTTTTTGAGACCTCACAGAATTGCCTACCTCAAACCAAACCGAAACAGAACCATGCTCAAGGAAGGAAAAAGAAGAAATAAAAATTAGACCACAATGCTACTTTCCCATTTTCCCCTTAAACGTAGCACTGAATAAACACACGTGTTCTCTTGTCTTCACAGAAGGACAATGCAATTTCAGACAACCTACTAGAACTATGAAAACAGTGCGAGTGCAGGAGAGAACCCTCACGTACATTCTGGAAGGTCACCAGGTTTTAGGTGTACCTCCTGCAGATAACCTAATTTAATAAAATCTAAATTTACAGATCAGATAAACTGGGGGAATGGAGAGGTGGCTAAGTTCATTACAAAGGATCCTTGCTTTAAAAAAGAGTTCATTAGAGGCTCCTTTAAAAAGACTGAAAGTCAGCGATTGGAGGCATAGAAGGGCCAACCGGAGGATGTTCACTGGAATGTCAAGGAGTCGTCCACTCTGATTTCTCACCCGAGTGTGGCATGGACTCGTATATTCACAAGTGGCCTCACAGTGGCTCTACTGGAAGGGGGCTGACGATTCCACTGACGTCTCATTCCACTTTCCACATTTCTGTTCGGTTGATTAAAAAAAAAAAAAGCCCTGGCTGGTGTGGCTCAGTGGATTGAGTGCCGGCCTGAGAACCAAAAGGTCACCATTGTGATTCCCAGGCAGGACATGTGCCTGGCTTGTGGCCAGGTCCCCAGTTGAGGCTGTGCAAGAAGCAACCAAGCTGTATCTCTCACTCATCAATGTTTCTCTCCCTTCTTCCCTCCTTCCCCATATCTCTAAGAATAAATAAATAAAATTTAAAAATTAAAAAGAAAAGCCAATCATGCTTTTTTAACAAGAATTATATGTACATTTCCATTCTGGAAAAAAGACTTTCATTTGTTTCAATATGGTAGGCTCACCAAAATTCTAAGAAACTGACTAATAATTTGGTGCTTATAATGCCTCAATAATCTCACTATGTAGCCATGCCCTTTCACATGTGATTTCTCCAAACTAAGTTCAAACTCTCTTAGACTTCACTCCAGTTCCTGAGCCTCCCCGTTCCTCCCCCTGTTGCCATCCACACAGCCAGACGGTGATGCTCCTCCTGCCCCCACCCCCCTGGGAGTGTCCCCGAGTTTCCTCTCTTCCTCCTCTTCCTTGCAAACTTCTCCATCTGCGCCAGTCTTTTGAGACTAGTGCTCAAACCTAAAGTGGTTTGCATAACATAGCACATAGATTCACTAACTATTCCTTGTGTAGCAGTCTGCAACTATTTCTTGCTAACTGCATCCTATAATCTATCTTCTGCAGCATTCAACTACTGGAATTTGAATGAAACACAATATTAAGAGAAAATTAAAATAAATTAAAAGCAGTGTCTGGCTCCAGTTCAACCAAGCATGCCTATCCCAGGATCTACCTTTGTATTTTGCTTTGAGGTGAGCCTCAAAGGCTAAAACAGCCACAAAATAGATGTCCTGTGACATTTTCTTGACTTTGAGATTCTAACAGCCTCCCAAGGGGCAGGGCTCACTAAATTCACACTAATGGAGAGAGAGGGCCCCGAGGCCGAGCTCTTGTCTGCAGATGAAACGAACCAGAGGAAGAATTTGGTTGAGATGAAGTCCTAAGAAATCAAAGTGGATGACTCCTTAACATTCCAGTGAGAATGCCCTTCCGTTGGCCCTTCCAAGCCTCCAATCTCTGACTTTCACGGAAATAAAACATGGTAGAAAATGAGGGGCCTGAGGAAACCTGAGGCTGCTTCTCTGTTCCCCATTTCAAATGGGGTGAATCCCAGCAACAGCGACAGAGTGGGTAGAGCCTAAAAGCTAATAAAACCCTGAAAGTGCCAAATTCACATCCCTCCCCTCTGCCCCACACAGAGTACGCCTGGTAACAAGAGCTTCCACTCACTGTTGCAGCCACTGCCTTCAGCACGCTACGTGTATTAACTCCTTTCGTCTTCACAGCAGCCCTCAGGGTTCAGCCTCCCACTCGCCCCACGTCTCAGATGGAGAAGACGGAGGGTGGCAGAGCTGGGGCAGCCTGGCTCTGAGCCGGCTCGACTGGACTCCGCCAGTACCGTGGGGTTTCTTTGCGAGCCCAGAGCCAGAACATCATCAGACTGTGATATCACATCACATGTGAAATATCTGAATGAAGACCAGCAACTTCTGGCGAGCACGGAAATGCTGAACTGAAGCTGTGTGCCACAGAGGGCCTCCCGGGCAGCCCCCTCAGCCACAGCAGCTCTGTGGGGAGATGCTGAGGTTCGCCCACAGTTTTCACTTTTTGTTTTGCCTTTTGTAGCAAACGTGGATCTTTAGCATGAAAGTTAACTAGCAGATCTTGAAGGAAAGACAGTGGCTTCCCTGTGTCTTCAGAGGATACCTGGGGACTCAACTGGCAACAGTCCTATGGTCAGGCAGCGAAGTGACACATATGCCATTCTAAGCCTGTTGATTCCTACAGGTGTGAACGGACTCTTTCCTCCCCCAGGCTTTCAGACGGAAAAGTCAAACCCAGCACAGGGTGCTCAGAGGACAACTGGCAAAGGCCCCCCCACCCCCCGGAATCTCAGCTCTGCCTCTCATGAGCTGTGTGACTCTGGGCTGTGACTTCACTTCTCTGGACTCAGTTTCTGCATCTGTGCAGTGAAGGCCTGCACTGTGAATCCTCTGAGGACTATGTCAGACAAGCTGTGCGAAGGTTCAGAGCCGAGCAGAGTCAGCCAGGGCAGAGGAAATAGGAACGAGGAAATTAGGCAGCCAGGGTTTGCCCCACTTTCGCTGTCTGACAGGACAGTCATCGTGGCACTGAATCAAACTCCACTGACTTCCCCTGACGCGCCGAGTGCCGCACACTTCCATTCACTCAGGACCCAACAGAAAGAAAGCGCTCAGCGGAGTCAGTTTTCTTCCTCTGCACCACTTTTCTTAAAAGACGGTAAGGACAAGCCATAAGCCCACATCTGCTATGTATTCCAAAACTAAATTCCCCCAGGGCCACAGGGTCCCGTGTCTTCCAGGATGCCCGCAGACCTGGCCTGACTCGCACGCGTCCCAGCCCTGCTCTACAAAACAAGGGGTGTGCTTTAATGATGCGGAGACAAAACAAAAACCAAAGCAAGCAAACAGACAAACAACAACCTGAGATACAGCATAAATCACAACAAATTATAATGTCGACAGTATGACTATAATGTTAAGAGTATAGTTTGAATTTTAATTATTTTAAAATAGCCAGCTCTGTTTTCAGATTCGCAGTTATCTTATTCAACTTTATTTTATTAATCCATCTGTAAAGGGGCCATTTTGAGGATAAAATAAATTACCAGAGCTGACAGCAATTTGGTAAGTTTTGTAAATATATACCATTCTTTAGAAATTTGAAATGACTGCACACACAAACTTCTCTAGAAAATTCCACTCACACGCCAAATCTATGGCCACATATGCTTTCCATTTGTTCACTTAAAAAATATTGCATCTAAGTCGTCTCCATTAAACAGGCAATCAAATAAAAGCCATTTCAGAGGAGAGGAGACTGCGTTTAGAGAGATCTGCCACACTCGCCTCTTCCCCGAGACCCTGGGGAGGGAAGAGGCAAGTTGTGACTTCTCACTGCGTCTCCACGCCCACCCGCTTCGGGCGCGGGAGGGAGGGCAGGGACCGCTCGGCGCCCGCTGGTGGAGGAAGGCCATCGCCATCGAACTAACCGGGGGCCCTTGTCTGAGTCTGAAGCAGGCCCCGGCCTTCCGCGCTCAGGGCCCGCAGGGTGCCCCGGTGCTGGCGTGCTGAAACCGTTTCCCCGACTCTCCTGGAAGGTGTGGGGCTAAGGGGTCCCCACGGCTCTACCCACGTGTGTGCGTGTGCTCGTCCACGGCGAGTCGCTGCGGCCGCACCAGCGTGGTGCGCAGGTCGCTGGGCCGCGGGAGGCGGGGGCCGGCGGGGGAGACGGCGGGGCGCTGGGGCTGTTGGACTGGAGTCCAGAAACCTTGGAGCAGCCCAGACCCTCCCGGGCCGCCACCACCCCGCAGCCCCAGCACCCTCCCGGGCGGAGCCCGGCCTGACGAGTGTGCACACGCCCCTCGGGGACACCGAGCCCCGCCCGCAGCCCAGAACTGCCCCGAGGCTCTCCCACGTGCCTTGTGCCCGCCCCCTCCGGGGTCCCCCCTAGAGCGACCGGGAGCCCCAGCCCCCTGGCTCACCGCCGGCGCTCGAGACACCGGACACCAGACACCGGACACCGGACGCCCGCCCGCCAGGGCCCTGCTCGCCGCCCATTCCCGCACCTGAGCCTGCCCGCGCGCGGCAGAGGGGCCGTGGCACGCAGGCCTAGCCGTCGCCAGCCCTGCGCCCTCCCGCTCCCCCCCCCCACCCAGAAACCCCCCTCCACCTCCCACCGCCCGGTCCCCAGTCTTCTCCCGACCTCCCCTTCTCGGCCTCTGCCTCCACCACGGCACCCACCTGCAGCGCCGGGACTCACCTGGCCGGGCGACCCGCGCACCCACCACGTCCAGTTGGGGCGGCCAAAGCTGTCTGGGAAGGAAGGGAGGGACAGGCAGAGGCACCCGCGAGCCGCACTGGCTGGCTGGACAAACACTCCAGTGAGAGGTTGGCAAACAGCGTCCCTCAGCCCCGGCCCGCCCGCGCTGCCCCACCCACGGCCCGTATGCCGGGGTGACTGGCTGGGCGCTGGCGGCCCCGCCCGGGCTCCTGGACACGCTCCAGGGCCAGGCGGCGGCGGGGCCCGGCGGCAGGCTGCACGCCAGGCCCGCTGTCCCGGGGGCCCACTGGCCTCGCAGCGGTGGTCCAGGCCCAGGCCACATGGTCCACCCGCAGTCTCCGACGGTTCATTGCTGGTCCCGCCATCTCGGGTCTCTGCATAACTTATTCATATCAGCGGCCCGGCCCCTTCTCCACCCTAGAGCTCAGGGTTTCTTGCAAGGAGGAGCCAGCGGGGGACCGGCAGGCCTTTCTCAGTTACACCGAGTCCCACGGGCCAAGTCGGCTCACCTCTCGGGTTCTGCTCCTGCGTCTCTTGGAGCTTACTTTTTTTTCTTTTGTTGTCACTAAGTAAATGATCAAACTCTCGGGCACTTGCCAGTACCGGTGTGGCTTTGTAGGACAGGATCAAGAAGGAGGAAGGCTGGAAAGATGGAGACTGGAAACCACAGTGACATGAAGAGAAAAGTAAAAAAAATCTGAAGGTCAAGAACCTTGAGAATTTCATCCAGAACAGGTTGGGGCGGCGCATGAAGGGAGGAGCTGACTGAGGACCAGAGGAGGAGCTCTCAGGGGAAATTGGAGTGGAGAAGGAGACATTGGAGGGTATGTTCCCCTGAAGAGAAAAGTACAAAACTGGAGAAAAGTGGCTGGATTTGGTGAACCCCAGACCACACGTGTTGGGGAAAGATGTAATAAAACAGTCCACCTCTCCCCAGCCTGTCTAGTAAATTCAGGAGCCTGGCTTGCTTTGTTCAAACAGGACACTGTCTCGCCTCCAGCCTCTCCAAACTGCAGAAGGTACTCAGGGTTAGAAAGAGCCTTAGGGCAGAGATCCGTCCCCAGACCTAGCTATTTAGGAACCATCCCAGGCATCCTAATAGGTGGGAGTTTCTGGTTTAGGTTCTGTTCCCCTCTGCTCATTAAATGAATGGCCTGTGGGGTGTTTTTTGGCTGCAGTGACATTTGCCCCTGGTTAGCTGTGGCCAGCTCACAGTGAATCCTAACATTCTGTGGAGTGAACAGCTGATGAACCGTGAAGAGTGGTTCATTAGGCAGTAAAAATTCCATAGGGCACTTGTAACAACCAATTACCTTCCACCATGTTCCACCTCTCTCCAGGTCCTTTATCACAGCGCTCCCACGTTGCTACTCACCTCTCTGTCCTTCGGTTTCGCCCTCTGCATAACAGCAGCACCTACCTAACTCATTAAGTTGTTAACAATGGTTAAATGAGGTAAAACATGTAAAATGCTTACAACAGTTTCTGAAAATGGTAAGAGTTCAGACACATTAGGTCACAGTATTTCACATCACGTACTATCATTTCAAGTTATCACTTCACACCTAGGTTATGGATTTTGCCTCCTAGGGCACCTAGACTCCGAGGCAGCCTCAGCGATCCCCCTCCTAGTGCAATGGTCCTTGCCTTGGCTGTGGAGAATACGTTCCTAGAGCACCAGTGGTTGACTAAAACCACGGGTAGTACCAAACCCTATATATACTATGTTTTTTCCTATATATGTATATCTATGATAAAGTTTAATTTATAAATTAGGAACAGTAAGAGATTAATAACAATAACAATCATAAAATGGAAGAATTATAACAATACACTGTAATAAAAGTTATGTGAATGGCTTTGGGCCATTGTTAAGTAAAAAGAGGGTGACTTGAGCAAAAGCACCACAATGCCATGAAAGTTGATCTGATCACAAAGACGGCTACTAAGTGACTAAGGTGTGCGTAGCGTGTATAGTGTGAATATGCTGGAGGAAAGGGTGGTTTATGTCTAGGGCAGGGCAGAGCAGGAAAGGTTTCATTGGAGTGGCACGCAATTGAAAACTAATGAGTTTCATAGACACAGACGATAGAATGATGATTACCAGAGAGAAAGGGGGTAGGGGAATAGAAGAGGGTATGGGCTTGGTTAATGGGGATGGAAGGAGACTTAACTTGGAGTGCTGAACACAGGTGATGTATTTACGAACTGTACACCTGAAACCTATGTAATTTTATTAACCAATGTCACCCCAGTAAATTCAATAAAAAAGTAGGGCCCTGGCTAGTGTGGCTCAGTGAATTAAGTGCTGGTCTGTGGGCTGGAAGGTTGCTGGTTCGATTCCCAGTCAAGGCACAAGCCTGGGTTGTAAGCCAGGTCCCTAGTAGGGGATGTACAAGAGGCAATGGATCAATGTTTCTCTCACACTTTGCTGTTTCTCTCCTTCTCTTCTCTTTTTAAGCATAAATAAATATAAATCTTTTAAAAAAAGAAAACATGAGTTGTTTTTTCTCTGGAATTTACCGTTTACTATTTTCAGAGCGTTGTTGACCAACCACAGATAAGGAAGGGGGACTGTATTATGTTGCCTATAAACGGCGTTACATCTTGTCTTGGTGTGTGTGTGCTTCCTGCACTTGGATCATTTACTCCTCAGAAAGCCAGCTGCTATGTTATGACCAATCCTATGGAGAAGCCCACATGGAGAAGAACTGGGGGCTCCTGCCAATAGCCATAGAATGAACTTGGACATGAAAGCTATAGCCCCAGTCAAACCTTCAGCTGACTGCAGCATTGGCCTATAGCTTCAGTGCAAATTCATGAGATCACCCACTTAAGCCACTCTCGAATTCCCGGCCTGCAACATTGAGGTGGTAAATTGTGTTGTATTAAGACACAATTGGGAGGACACTTGTTACACAGCAATAGATAACTAATACACCTCCTCTCTGGTCTAGTTTCTAAGCCAGTTTTAGCTAGCCTTATGTATAGGAAATTTCATATACTGGATAGCTTATTTAAACACAGATCTTCGACCTCACCCCAGAGCTAAGAAATATAATATCTGCAAGGGCCAGGTGTCTTTGTTTTGAGCAAGCACTCCTAGAGATTGGGTCAAAGACGGGATTACCGACCCTCCTGTCAGAAACTCTGCTGCAGGTGCTCCAGGCCAGACGTTTCTGAGTGCAGTTGTCAAATTCATCTTGATAAACTTAATTCTAATTCTTCATTTGGTTGCTAAAAACATCTTTGATGCCAGCCCCTCCTTCTTGTCCAAAGGAAGACTTAACCTCTTGACAACTTTCAAAAACCAGAACAACCTAACACTAATGTCTTTCAACTGTATCACCTTCCTAATGCAAATCCTGCATTCAGATAATCTGGCATTTTCAGGCCCCAAAGCTATACAGGCTCTGCAGGTTCACACTGTGGCGCTTGTCTAAAAAGTCTTGTCCCACAACTTGGCTTATGAATATCCTACCTGTCCTTCAAGCATCGATCTTTAGGAAACCTTTCTTGCCTACTCTCCTCCCAACTGGAAGCAGTCCGTGCCTCTTGCATGCTTATATATTTGTATCACAAGTTAGCATTTAACACATCAAGAACCATTTCATGAAAGCCCACTAGGTGCCAGGCCCTGTGGTGACACTGGGGGACAGCAGAGAGCAGACAGCCAGGGACCCTGCTGCCACTTCACTGCAGCTCTGTCCTGTTCAGTACCTGTGTGTGTTTTCTACCTCTTTCAAAGTGTAAATGTTATGACAGCAAGGACTAGCCTATGCAAATTTGAACCTCCCCAACACCCAGGCACACAGCAGGTGTGCAGTGCATGTTGGTTGAATGGATGCTAACAGCCCAAATGAATGCAGGCTGTACACACACAGTACAATCCTCCACTCAACGTGGAGCCCAGTGCCTCCTTCTTTTTCTCTCTTTGTCTCCTTTCCATTCTTCTTGCCAGGTGTCTCTTTCCTATATTTGGAAATATCTCTCCTCCTTTTAATTTCTGTAGTTCTTTCTCCATCCTCTTCACTTTGTCTCCCCTCTCCTCTACCACTTCCCCTTTTTGTTTCCTTTCCCCCATCTCTTGGGGTGTCTCCTCTATCAATTGGCATAATCTAGAATCAAAAATATATTTCTTCTCCACTTTAAAAGTAGACAAAATGTTTCTATTGCTTTAAAAACAATCAAGCAGCTGTTACTTATTTATGAGGCCCTGGATTACTCCTTCCCTCCCTTTGGGCCACGGTTCTCAGTAGGAAACACTTCCCCACCCGTGATCTAGGGCGTGTGTGGGGAGGATTGCTGCCTTCACTTGCTGGCAACACTCCTGATCGAGTGTGAGGTCTGGGCCACAGCCAGGCAGCTACTGCTGGCTGGCTACTGGCTAGTTAGAAACAAACATGATGGGTGTCACCAGGACACGTGTTCAGGAGTGTTCCAATGCCCATCCAGGGCCAGTGGTCCATGGAAAAAGCTAGTATCTATTTATTATTGTATATACTAATTTTTAAAATTGCTCATTTATTTCCAGTAATGGACACCAAAAAACAAATATCCCACATTTGAACTGACACATTCTCTAGCATTCCTTTTGGAAGATTTCGAAAGAACCCTGCTGCTCAGGGCTGGGTGTATGGCCACCTATCAGGGCACTGTCGCTGGAGGGGTGCAGAGCAGGGCCGACAAAGCCTGAGGCCCCTCACCCCCGGGGCTGAGCGGCACATAGCTGCGCTGCTGCCGGAAAGGCTCGGCAGGCCACTGCTCACTTTCTCGAGGCCAGTGTGTGTTTCAGTTCCACAGAAAATGGAGGTTACCTGCAGATCTTTTCTTTAGGGAAAAAATAGGATAACATTAATATTTTCCTGTCATGTTTTATCATCTACAACCACTTTTTTTATTTTTAAAGAAGCTCTGCCTTTGTCCCACAGTGAATATGAAGTAGATGTGAAAGAAAAAGACTAAACATTTCAACTTTATTAAAAATTGATCAAATTTCAAAATGCATCCCAGTCAAGCCACCGATCATAAAAATATTATTGAAGGTCGTCTGTATGTTTAGCTTGCTGCCAGCAGTTAGATTTGATTATGAACTATTTTCATCGGTTTATGACTCTATCTGGGCTTTATTTTTCATCTTTATAAATACCAAGGTAAACTGTTGGCCTTTTCATTCATCTTTGAATTTATTAGGTTACTCTAACTTTTAGTACTTTTCCCTGGATTACTTTTATGGACTTGTTTCTGGGAAGACATCCTTCATTTTCTGTGTTTCTGTATCACAGTGGTGCGCAGCCTGTGGCCCGGAGGAACTGCTGACCTGAGGCTCGTGCATGGGATTGAATGACTTCTACCCCAAGTGATAAGGGGCATCTGTGCAGAGCTTATGGTAACCAATGCATCTGATCGACCTTC